TAACAGAACTGCAAAAAAGTTGGGAGTTCAGGTTTGGTTTGGATAAAATCCTGAAATGTGGGTATGTCTCTGAATTACCTCATCGTCTTGTTTTGAGCCCTTAGCTGAACTTGTCCCAAAATCCACCTCCAACAAACCAGTGAAAAATTTAATATAAACTTAAATTTATCKTGGTATTAACATATATTTTTAACTGTTTTTTTGTTTGTTTTTTTTACTAAACAAAATACATATTTGTATTATAAGTTGCAGGTAATGTACTTTTGGAATTCACTTACCCCCCACTGGTTTAAGGAATGACCTCACACATCCTTTCTTCTGTCAGATGGGTAGCCTCATTCATATCACGTATCAAGTATGAAATAAAATTATTTCCCTAAAGAAGTGTTTAGGGTTAACCTAACACATTTCACACATCTCACTTATTAATGCTTTGTCTGTGAAAGCATCAACCCATGGGAACGTTAAACCTGCATCAGCAAGTGGGGTSCTTCCACAGCCTGATARAGACTGTTCCAAACCCCCCRGAGATCAGTGGTGTGAGTTAACTGGGATGAATAGCAGCGGTTCAAGTGCACAAGGTGCATGTGAGCACCGTGCGCCTGTGGATCCCCGTGCTGCTCCATGAACATCAGCCCCACCACCCTTTCCCTCTGGGCTGTAAATCCTGCCTGTGGATTTGAGTATGCAGCAGCCAGGCTGCTGATCACTGGGAATCTCAGACTGTGTCTGCTGCCTTACTGCTCTTGGCAAATGAGCCACAGCTCAGGCTTGAAATTACAGAATCACAGAATGGCTTGGGTTGCAAGGGACCTTAAAGACCRTCAAGTTCCAACCCSCTGTTGTGGGCAGGGACACCTTCCACTAGACTGGGTTGTTGTGGGCCCATCCAACCTGGCCTTAAAATTACCTTTCATTACGTGGATTCAAACCACAGCAAACCACACTTCCTCTGCTCTCCCTGCCAAGGGCCTGCCAGTCAGAAGAACCGAGCATTAAAACTGTGTTTGTAACAGTGGAAGGTGTGGGACTTCCCYTTCTGGAGAAAACTGGCGTGCATTAAATCCGCAGCACTGGGCAGTGCATTCCTCCAGAGTTAATAGCCAAGGTAATGACAGAGCCCACAGCCTCAGCTTCCAAGGGGCGGTTTGGCTSAAATGCCGATATGTTGGAGGGACGGCAGAAGGGATGGCTTTCGACAGCGGTGCCTCCATCGACTGTCCATCAGGACTTCGGTAGATGGCACTGTCACACCGACTGTCACTTCCTGGACACAGGAAGGGACGATGTACAGATCATGCTGTCACAAATTGTCTATACTTTTCTTCAAATAAACTACCCTTTTCTTTCCCTCCTCTAGATGAGATCTTATTATATCTATTTGATTTTTCAGAGTAATAATCCGACTAGTTAAAATGCATATATTAGAACAATTGACCACTGATCAATTTTGTTGACACATTTTCAATTAGGTGATATGGAGCAAGACTAAACAATACTTTTTTTTCTTTTATAAATCCGTGGAAAAACAAAATGTCCATCGCCTTTGATATTTTTTAAGTGTACTTATTATTTTTTTATATAGTTACATAATTCTATTTTCAGCTGTGAAGTGTTCTGATTTTTGTTACATGAATTCTTTTTTTTTCCCCTCAGTCTTCATAGACATAGAACTTTCTGGGGTGRTTATGAGAGGGGACATCTCCACTCCAAATTTTGAAAGTACTGCCTTTAAAAAATCGTGTTTAGTCTCTCTGCATGTCTGGTCCAGCGCTTATATTTTTATGTGTGTTTCCCATGTAGGTGATATTAACACTGCCTTAATCTGACTTTACATTTGCCAAATTTGTAATCTATTAAATAATTGTAACCCCCAGAGCAACCACAATGCCTTAGGGACTAGTTAGCTAGGCCTGAGTCAAGCTTTTATTCTTTTCAGATTTCTCCTGTAGCTATTGTATTTATTTTCTTTTCTGCTAAATTCTATGAGAACCCTGGCACATCACCCAGAAATTCTGTCCAGCATCTGGATTATATACTCAACCACAGGAAATCTCATGGAGGGCCAACAGATTTTTGTTCCATTGTGTAGTTCTGTTGGGATCACCATCATCTTGGTAGCTGGATTTAGACTAATTTCCCATGACTGCTCTCTGACATGGTAGGGCTTTTGTCTAAAAATCTGTGAACCATGCTGATTCTCCTTGGTAATCAAAAGATTGTCCATTTCTCCCAATTAACCAGTGACTTGGCTGTCAATTTGGAGCAATTTCCTAACAAAGCAATGGGTGGACTTTCACGASTGAAAAAAGGGCACCAATTTAAATTAACTCTTTGTTTTCCCATACATGAAAAGAAATTGATGAGGCATATTCTGAGTATTAGCTAGAAGGTTGCTGTATCTGTAGTAAAGCTATCACTGGGTGGGAGATCCACCAGCTTTTCGAGGAAATCTGTGAAATCTGAGTCAACAATCTGCAAATCCCAAAATTGCTCCATTTCTCTAACATCACTCTTGTGMACACTTTGAATACTTGCAAAGCTATAGCTGCTAGGATGTGGYTTTCCAGTACAAGGCTGAAGAGCAGCAAAATGATTACTCCTGCTGCTTCCCTCCTTTCTTTTTTTTTTTCCTTTTTTTTTCTTTTATTTGTTATGATATTAAGCCTGACCTTTAAAAATATACATAAAATCAGTGACTTTAAATGGAGCATCTGTGATGCAGAATAGTCATGTCTTTTCTACAAGATCCCAGAGCAAGAAGGATGATGCCAAATGACCTAAGGAAGAGATCGTGAGCTCAGAATCTTTGTTTTAATCTTGTTATYTTTGTTTTCCAGTACTGCTGCAAATTGGTGTACTGCACAATACCCCCTCACCACAGATTTTCCTTCACTGTTAGTTGATAGCAAAATTATAGAATTTAACGTGCCTGAAGAGTGGATTTACATTTTAGCAAGTATTGTTGTTGTTTTAGGCCTAAAAAAGATCATAAGGAGAAGTTATAAATTAATAAATGAAACCCCTTTGCTACTGTGTGTGTCTCAGCTGCCGGATCCTCCGCCAATAGCGGTCCGGAGTTCCGTCAGGCGGGAGCGCGATCCCGGCCGGTTCCAGCAGAGATCCCGGGCCGCGCCCGGAGCTCCCGGCGGCGCCCGAAGGCGGAGAGCACGCGGGACCCCGAGACGCAGCCCATCCCGGAGCTGCCCATCCCGGAGCACAAACCCGGCTTTCAGCGGAAAGCCGCAGGCTCCGGCTTTTCCCRCGGTGGCGATCACGAGTGGCCGCGCCGCCCCTGCGGCCGGGGGAGGAGGAGCGGGCAGGGGGGCGGGGGGCGGCAGGGAGCCCTTGGCTTGGCACTGCTGACGCGCTGCCGGGGACCGGGCTCAGCTCGGAGAGAACGCGGGCTGCCACAGACACCGGCAGGGCTGAGGCTCCAGCAGCCAGCGCTGCTCCTGCGGCAGCCTCCTCCCTCCGGCCCTCCGTCCGGCCCTCCTCCGCCTCCGCCTCCGCCGGCACTGCCCGGCTCTCTCCTTTACTGCCCGGCACTGCCCGGCTCTCTCCCTTGCACCCCGGCACTGCCCGGCTCTCTCCCTTGCACCCCGGCACTGCCCGGCTCTCTCCTTTCACCCCGGCACTCGGCCAGGCGGAGGGAAGGGAAGGGATGGCGAGGGTCGCTGCCCGGCTGCTCGGGGCGCTGTGCTTCGCCGCCTGCCTGTCCCCGGCTCCYGGGAGGGACGCCGGAGCACCCTGGACCCTGGAGAAGGTGGGTCGCGTTTGCCTTTCCCAGGTGCTGCTTGCCTCTGGCTCGGCGGGCAGGGGTCAGYGGCTGGGCGGGGGAAATCTTATCCCTCCTGTCCCGGCCCCCAACGAGAATTCGGGCTGGGATCACCTCAYCTCCCGCAGGTGAGGCTGGATGACATGGCTTCCCTCTTAGCCCGAGCGTGGTGGCTGCACAGAACAAATTTTCACACGTTTGTCTTTGTCGTCTCTCACCGCCTGGGACGGGGCAGCAAGAGCGATAAGCTTTGCCAGGGGCAGCTAGCGAATTTAAGGGGAAACTTAAGCACAAGACAAATCAAAATCTGAAATTGTATTTCATATAACATCCTAYTGCACTCCAACTTTCATTGTGATTACAGTGAGTCAGAGGACAGTGACTTAGTTTGAGACTTCCAGCAGTGATGCACACGTATCTAGGAAAAACAAGTAAGCATTGTGCTGATAGCCGGTACAAAATTGTTTTGAAAGGATACAATGCTCTAATGTGTTCTAGACCCATACTATATTGTGTCTAATTTAAAGTCGTTGTGAACTAGTGAAAAAAGGACTCTCGAGATAAGGTTTAATTAMACAGTGGTAAGCCTTAAATCCTGGATTTCTCTATGTAGCAACTCTTCGTGGTCTATTGTGAAATATTAACATAATTTTCTTCATAAAGAACTAAGCCGTGAAACATAGGAGAGCATCCAACTGCAAATCACATTCCACTAAACATTTCCAGTATTTCCAAATGGAGAATATACTTCTAGGGCCCTTTMCCAAGTGTTTGTAGAAGAGCTGATCTCAAAGTTCAGCAAGAAGCATCTGAAATCCACTAATCCAGTGCACTGTTCTGTTCACCAATAGATCAGAGTCCAGGGCAAACTGCTAAAAGGAAGCTTCCCTTACACCTTTACACTCACTTCCCTTTCTCCTTGATTTTATTCACACCCCATTCAGGGAAATGTTGGGTTGGTTGGTTGGTTGGTTGGTTGTTAACGAGATACTCTGTCATTCTGTTCTATTGATTGTATCTTAAACACATAAATATATATACATATATAGGTATAGCTCACTATGTCATCTATGTAGCTCATGTATAGACTAGATATCTGTAACATAATGTATCCATATTGCATATAATACATGTATATGTACATATCTACTATCTACATAGCACGTGGGGCTAGATCTTTAGTCACAGGGGTCAGTGAACAATCACATAGCCCCGGTGCTCCTTCTTCCATCCCCCCTGAGCCCCAGCACTTCACTCCCTAGCTGGCCCCGTTCTGRCCAGTCAATCTCCTCACCAGTGCTGTCAGTAGTGTCACCCAGACACAGAGCCATCACATCTGAGCTGCTCTGCCTGTGCACACAGTAAGCAAGAACTTCCTCTTTCTCATCAAATTCTTGTCCTTCAACAACTTGTGTTCTTTCTTTCTGGAGGGATGTGTGAGCTGGAAATTCTAAGTCCTGAATGCAAGCTTGGGCTACTTGTAGAACTTGGAAGTCCTGCTTTTATCCAGCTTAGTGCACTAAGCTTAGTGACAGCCCTGTCATAAATACATTGTTCTGCCTCCCTGTTGTGGCAAAACAGGGATTGACCAACACTGTAAAGAATGAGTCACTTACAAATCTTATTTTGCTTCTCTTTTATTTCATAACCACTTTTGTAATTCCTCTCACTTCCCAGATTTGAAGATATCTCCATTATTAGAAGTAGAAATTGATTCCTCTCTTCCGAAGTATTTTCATGCATTTGTACTTTAAGAATGTTTCTTTGCAAAGTGATTCAATGACCCCAATTACCAGGCATGCTCTTCATTTGTTCAACTGCAGACATTTTTTCTGAACTTCCTAAATTAAATTGTATACTCTTCTGAAACATATGGCTTTAGCTTTTCTCTCTCCCCTTATAGCCTACTCCTCCTAAACCAAACCAAGCTCCCTGACAACATTTTCTCTTGTCTGTGACTCTTCTACACTGGTCTGAGTTCCATCGTATTAAACTTCTAGTATTTCAAAAGACTGTTTTGCAACTTCCACAGTACTGTTTCCAAACTCCCAGATGAAATGCAATTTTTCTTTAATCTATGTCTAAATTTGCTAGCATTAAAAATGTTAACAGCCCATCCTAAATTTTGGTGTCCTTATAGTCTTGAAATTCAACTTTAAATGCTATTAAARTTGACACAGTAAGATTCAGTGTTTTTGTGTCACTCCTCTGCTTAATTTCATTAGTAAACTTAAGTAGAATTAGAGGAAAAGTTTACACAGAGATAAACAGCTAGAAAGCAAAAGAAGGGTAGAATTAAATGTTTGCAGTGAAGTCTAGAAAATAGTTGTGCTTGTACTTGCTTGTACAAACACAAAGTAGAAAAGAAGTCAAACAGTGAGGCAAACCCCATTTTTTAACAATATTCATCACCTAGGGTAATAAGGTAACAGGTAACGAGATACCTGATTCTTGAGGTCAGTTCCCATTCACCCAGGTAATGGGTTTTAGGTATTATTTCAGACACATGTGAAATGACATGAGTGAGTGGAAAAGGAGAGGGAGTGGTTCTTTTTAACATACAGTGGTGGGGTTACACTACAGATATTTATGGGAAAGTMAGTTTGATGCAGCCCAAAAGCAAGTCAGCTGTTAAACAGTTTGAAGAAATAAAGAGAATGAAACAAAAAATACCATTGTTCCACCATATAGACTATGGTATGCTCATGTTCCAGTTCCTCTCTTTTTGCTTATCTCAAAAAGGATGATGTAGATAAGGTACACTGAAGGATAGCAAGTCTGATCAATCATGTTGAACATTTCTGATCAAAGAACAAGGAAACACTAATAATTTTCATTAGGAGAAAGACAGCAGTAGAGGGAAGGCCCTATAATACAAGGGAAGAATGGATATGAAAGCACTTGAAACAGGAATTTATAAAAGCAGCAGTGACTCAGGAAGTTTCTGAGGATACAACTGCTAAACCTGTGTATAAAGGGGCATTTGAGATGTCCYTGGGARTCCCACGTGGCATTTAGCTACCACTCCAGAGCACTCCAGGGCTCCTGCACATCAAAGATGTGCCATGTAAGTGTGTCTCAAGCTCTCTGGGTCACCTGATTTGGYCCCAAAGGCCTGTGCTTGGGCAACAGAAAGGAAGTCACTGGGGAGGTAGCTCACATACTAGCCGGTGTCACAGGAGACAAGCTGTCGGTTCTGAGGTTAACCCACGTGCCACCAAGCTGATGAATGCCCCAGCTAGCCCCACACGAGCCACAGCATTCTGTGCAGACACACTCAGAGTGCCACGGTGGGCAGAGGCCACAATGAAACAGCTTTGCTCCCTCTGGGAGTGGGTTACCTKAGGCATTTCTTTGCAGTACTGCACCTTATAACAGACACAGAATAAAGCTAAATATTATTACTGCTAGAAACMAAGCTTCTGGTGTTTGTCTCAATAGAAACCTCAGCTGAAGGTGGCATGGGTGCAGACATGACCTGTAGAATTAAGGTATTAGGAAACAAAGAACCCATTCATGGGCTGAAGTTTTACAGCTAGCTGGTAGGTAGAGCTTTCTCCCATACTTTTAATACAAGCACATATTCCATGGAAATGAAAGCACATTTTCCATGGAAATGAAAGATATAGAAGCCAATAATTTCTGAGTGAGAAGGTTTTCTTAAATTACTTTTTGTTGGAAGTAAATCATAGTAGCAAAATATATCACATTTACTGTAATTCTGAAGAAAACTAAGGTTTAAAAGGTCTGCTAATTGTTATAGCAGTCTTTCTTCCCTCTACCTTCTACAGTATTCTCACCAACCAAGAATTTTAGGTTCTGATGCTATTCAAAAAGTTGTGGCCAACACAGATATTTCTGAAATGTGGGAGAACGATTTGCGCCCTATCCTGATAGAAAGATACCCAGGATCTTCAGGAAGCTACATTGTGCAGCAGGTAAGACAACAYTTCCTGAGAACCTCTAAGAATATCTCTTATTTAGATTCTGGTAATGCCTTTGGTGACCCCCCATAAAGAGACATTCTCACAAAGTGACAGTCACATTCCTTTCATTCAATAGGATGAACCCTATCCTTGTTCAACTCCAGACTGTGTAGTGCCTACATGACACAGCTGGCACGTTAGCTGACATTATTTCCCAGGGCTGCATAGCATGATGAAAAGATTTTTTTTTTTCATTGCTTTTTTTAAACTAAAAAGCTTGCTTCAGGTTTGGTGCCCAAAGTACAACAATGGTTGTCCTTTCCCTCACATGGCAGGTTTTTGGTCGCTGGTTCAAACCTGAGACCATGCATGAGAGACATGGTTTGTGACACCACCCACAACACTTTTTGGGAGAGGTCCTGTCCTGTGCTCTTACAGGCCCCTGGAGTGTTTCTTCAGATGGRTGTATCAGCACAGAAGGGGATCAGTGGGGCCCAAAGGGGCAGGCAGATGAAATGATCAGCACAACAAAGTGTAGCCCTGGCCCATGAGCCGCACCAGCTCTCAAGCACAGCAGTGTCCCAGTGCTGGGCTGACAAACCCAGACTGCAGCTGGCCCCAAGGCAGTAAAGGCTCCAGCACATTGTCTTTGAGCCACAAAAAATWACCACACAACTGGGTTGCTGCCCTGTCAGCACCTCTGCTCTGCACTCACAGCATGGGCATCTTCAGGACAGTGTCCACGCTGCCTCTGGATGACATTAGCCAAGCAGGAGACAGACAATGGTACAGCTGAATTTATTAGAAGACATTCACAGCATCTCACTAGCCTTCATCTGCCCTTCAGGCAGTGACTCAACATCTCTAAGACAGCCCTAGCTACAATAAATTTATTTGCCACTCTACAATTGGTAGACTGGAAAAATGGAGCCTTTTTATGCTTTGCGTGTGTGTGCGTGTGCATGTCTCTATAGATTTAGTTTTGTGGTTTCTTTAGTGATACTYTGGAAGGCAGCCAAATGAAAGGGGGAAAAGGAAGAAAAACAAAAAAGAGCTGAGCCTAGGCTAGAAAACCACAGATCATGTTCAAAATAGGATCACCCTGTTACAAGGTAACAACATGTCTTAAATTAGACCCCCCAACAAAGGAAAAAAAGAAGAGACCCCCATTGTCAAAACCCAACAATGGAGTTTGAAATGAATGACACTTCTTTGTTGAGACACAGAAAGTATCAAACTCTTTTAAGGGAAAAGGCTACTGGGAACTCCATCCAGGCTCATATAGTCCCCTTAATCCTTAACAGACATCATTTACTCTGCCCACTGACAGCTGATAGACCAAACAATGCTGTAAAAGGTTTCAGAGGGTGACCACAAAGAAAATGGGAGTTTGTTCTAGCACAAAAATCTATGGCAATATCCCTGCTGACTTCACTAAGAGCAGAACAAGTCTTCAAAGTCTGCTTTCTCCTCAGAGGCTTTTCCTAATGTTTACTTAAAGAGACAGGAATGTGCCTTGAAGAAGCACTCCAGGGACCCATAAAAAAAAGTTGCTCAACAGAGAAACAGAGATGTCCCTCTAATATGAGTTAGCCAGAACTCTGGTTRAAGTATAGCTGGGGTTGCTAGAGGTATTGTCTTTAGGTATGAAGATAGCTGAAACAAATTATTTCTTTTATAGAGTGTCTTAATTCTTATCTTTATATGAGCTACACTTACAGAATTCTATTTTAAAACATTGTGAAATGTTTAATTTTTTCTTTCATTTAAAGGAATCTATCTCTTATGGCCTTTTAAACAATGTATGTCACTTGAAAGGCAGATTTCTTACAGGAGCTAAAGAGCCCAACCACCTCACACCAACCAACAAAGCTAAACAGCTTTTTTATTTTTCTTATACTGCTRTGGCATCTCTGTGCAGTCTAAATAGCCACACCAAGGTCTCTGCAGCCAATTCTGAMTTTAAATTAAAGGACACATCTGAGTAAAGATTTGAAGATGTTAACATTAAATCTGCTCTAGTTACACCTGAAAAAGAAAGTTTCACTGGCCTGAAAACTTCAGAGATCGAGAACCTAATGTGTCATAATATTTGGCAGTCGTTCCAAACACCTTCACACTCCAAAGACAAGGATCAAAAGGAAGAAATAAAAAGCAAATGAGTCAGTCAAAGGGTCAGGTAGCAAAGTTATACAGTAACATTACGTTTTTTGCTATAAAGTTAATCCTTTAAAACACCATGAACTTTTAGAAATAAGCCTAAGAGMCACTATCAATTAGATAATGACAATTTCTCTGCAATATCTTTCTGAAGAAAKAAATATTAATGATTGCTTTCTATAATTGCAGCATATCAAACACCGCCTTCAAACGTTAAAGGCTGGTTGGGAAATTGAACAAGATACATTTCAGAGATACACACCATACGGATATAAAACATTTTCAAATATTATCAGCACTCTTGACCCCTCTGCAAAACGCCATCTCGTACTTGCTTGCCACTACGACTCAAAATTCTTTGGACARCAATGGCACGACAGAGTGTTTGTAGGAGCAACTGATTCAGCTGTGCCTTGTGCAATGATACTGGAGCTGGCACGTGCCCTGGATAACAAACTTCAGTTAATCAAGGTAGGTTTTTTGTTTCATTTTCATTTGCTTTTCCAACAGCAACAGGCCTCAGGGCATTTCCACATTCTTTTCCATAGCCTGCATGCTGGGTTCTCCGATTGCTGTGCCTATAATAAATCTCCCATTGACTTCAAGAACAAACAGAGATAGTATCTGCTACTCTAAAGTACATTATCACATTAAAATTTCTTTTAAAAGGGTGGTTATCTAAAAGTTATCTACTTAAACATATACTATATAMAAATAACAAATGATACATGAATAATAGATGTTTCATAGACTTGGAAAGATACAATGCTACTTGCTATCTAAAAGGCACAGATCCCTTCTCAGAAGTTCCTGTCATATGCAGTAACATCTAGAGTCATTGACAAAGTTCTGAATCCCACCTGAATCTGAGATTTTTGTTGCATTCTGAATCCTGCAGAAATCTCTCAGTTGTATTCTGCTTTGGGACACACATGAACTAATTGTTGTGCAGAAGAGTTACACTCATATGGAGGTCTTCCCATCCACAAGGATTTCAAATTTTTCTTCTTATTTTCTCTTATCAATTTTTATTTCTGAAAAAAGTAAAATGTTATCAGTCTGTGTTACCGATGCTATGAAAATCTGCTTCAAAAGAGGCTGCAATTGCTAGGCACAAAAATCTGTTGAACCTTCAAACTCTAAAASCTTGTAGGATCACCAGTCTCTAGGATTTCAGATTCACGAATGCCACCTACTGGTTCAGTGTTCCCTATTTACAGAAAAACAACTGCCATACGCGTACAGAGCTTTCACAGGAAAAGGTCTCTCAAATGTGAGAGACACTTCATAAAGAATCAGAAATACACTCAGCACAAGTACTAAGATTACTTGTCAGCAGTAATTGCCAGAAACTGATTTGGTGCCTTCTGACATGCAAATATTTAAGAATGAGAAGATCAAGAATATGTCCATATTTTTAGTCACAAACCAAAACAGTACTGTATACATATGCTTTCATTCAGAAGCTTCATTTATAATAAATCTGCCTGGTGATTATTTATGAAACAACCTGCACACTGGCTTTAAAGACTGGCATTTTTCACTACTAATACGTCATTTTACAATGAAAATCGTTTTATCAGCTAAGATGACAGCATTTGACAAAAAGGCAATTAATTACTTTGGACAGACTACTATTTGTACAGTCTGATAACAAAATATACTTTGGGRTCCATCTGCTTAATACATTGGCTATGATGTTCTTGTTTTGCTTATGGTAGCACAACAGATTTTATGTTTTCAGCCAAATCTATTTGTACTTTGACTTGAARCTGTGATTTTTATCTTGATGCTTCTCCAGTTATTTAGAGTAAATTTAAAAACTGATGGGCAAAGACATCTCTCTACAATATTAGAAAGTGTAGAGCAGTAATAATAAAACAAATACTATGTTCTAAAACTCAAATAGCATTGATATGGTTTCCTCCAGAATGTAATGCAAAATGACTGCTGTCCACAGAGCTCTGTCATGTGCAAAGGAAAGGGCAGCAAACCATTGCCATTAGAGGAATCAATATATCATTGCAAGCAAAATCAATATCATCTTGCCTGCATGAGTGATATTTTGTAGAAGTTTTCCACTGGTGTTTGTATTGGATCAGCTCCAGCTGCTTGGGAGTTGTAGCCCATACAGGACATGACTGCTGCCAGTGACCCCACCTTTTTAACCACATCATGCAATTTTACTTGAAGTAGTGTTAATTCATAGAGGGGTTAAAATATAGCAACTGTCAAGACCACAGCTCCCAAAACKGTTCATTTAGTGGAATGGTCTGGGATTCACCACGTTGTAGATTAGTAAACTTCTACATTAGGAAGAAATTTCATACAAATGTCTTTTTTTGTGGSCTTTAAATACATTTATAATATATACTGTCAGTTTTTAGTGCTTCATATTTTTGTTTTTTGAAAGGCAAAAACATAGCTACCCTCTCTCTTTGCCTTGGTTTAGTGTAAAGTTGCCTCAGTGATTTGCAAGTTTCCCTGAATGAAAAGAAATGGTGTCAAGGAACCATCAACTTGACAAATACATATTTCACCTCCACTGATGCACAACTGTAGCAATTACATTAATCCCTATGATGCAATCAAATAATAATATTAGTGCTCCCATCAGGTGTTGTTACTGGCAGGTCTCCTCATTATTTGAGATAATGTTGTTGCTACCTGGTTTTGCAGACCTGTCTCAACAATCAGCTCAAGTCTTCTGAAGTCAGAAATTAATCTTTTATCCAGAACCAAAATGACACRAGACTGGAGAATGGGTCACTGTGTTAGATAAATAAGAATTACCTTGACTGAATCACTACCACTGTTACACCACACTAACAGCCAAAGGAAGATTTGCATAGGGAACCTTCAAAACACACCCTTATTCATGTTCCTTATATGACTACAGTGTGTGCCTTTTATTTAATGTTCTGGCCAGAATCAGTTGTTTTACTTTTAACTTCCTCCAACAGACCAGCTCAGCATCAAGACCAGACCTTTCACTTCAGCTCATTTTTTTTGATGGTGAAGAAGCCTTTGTCCGGTGGTCCCCTTCCGATTCCCTCTATGGATCTCAGCACTTAGCTCAAAAAATGGTGTCTACTCCACAYCCACCTGGTTCAAAAACCACAAACCAGCTGCAGGGCATAGTAAGTGCCTTTTCACCTCCTTAATGAATAATAAGAAATGGCATTTTAAAAAATATGTAATTAGTACGTAATTGGCCAAATTCTCAAGAAACCACAATCCCACTAAAGTTAAAGGAAGAGGCATGTTTCTGGAAATATTATGAAATATGGTAAAGAATTGGCAAGAATTGCATTTCAGGTGAATGCAGAATCTGYTGCATGCAAGTATGAGGAGGAGTCACAGAAAAATCAAAATACAAAATTTTGTTACAATATAAACAAGGATACCCCCACCTTCTTCAGAGAAAGATAATTCAAAGTATAAGGAAAGAGCATGAAATGCATTGACCTAGGAACAAATCTCCCCTAGGTCAGTATTAAGCTATGGCAACCTCTGTTCCCYTTTGATCCCTACTAACATTCTGGTTGTCTGTTCCCCTCTACTTTCCCTGTTAACTGCTGAGGCACTTCTCTTCTGTCACTGCTTCTTGTGACTCATAAAATGTCTTTCCCTTGACAGACTTYGTTGTTTTGAGGGAAAGAAGCAATTTCCTCTTCTTTCTCCCCACCTACCGTAGTTTCTCTTTTAAAGAGATACAACTCACAAATTGYAATCTAAGCTATGCAGTCTGCTTCAGCCTGAGGAACAGAGAAATAAATTATCTTCTGCCTCCTTGGAAAAATAGCAAAATATAGATTGGAATCAGGTTCTGCTAGTGAATTCTTCTTAGGCACCATGGTAAAAAAGCCAGATCTTTGGTCAAACCTGCTCATGACCCATGCAGGAACCAAGGTTTCATTGCTGCTGCTTGTATTGTAGTAAAGCGCTGTGTACTAAAGATTCTTTCTTCTCTAGGACCTGTTTGTACTRCTGGATTTAATTGGTGCACCAAACCCAGTCTTTCCCAATTATTTTCCAAACACTATTCGATGGTTTCGGAGGCTTCAAGCAATTGGTAAGCAGAAGCATATGGGTTTTGGATGGATTTAAAAACATTGTGTGTAGTTTCTGAATGGATTAAGTTCTGTAAATCAGATTTTTAGATTAATTTTTCTGGTTTAGAGTCATAATATTTAACAGTGTAAATGTTAAATTTGGTTCTACTTAAACCTATATGAAGATACAAATATTTAATTAATAAAACAACTGAGGAAGACTCCCAGACATTTGGAAACAACAAAACAGATTCTACTATTCTATTCTGTCACTCTGTGATTCTTGGGAACTGCTTCACTTCTGTTTTATTTCTCACTTCTGTAAAATGATGGTAATAGCACCAGTCTTGGGGTCTTCTAAGCRCTAAACAAATGCAAAAGACAGTCACCACCACCTTTTTCTTCTTTGATGGAAAAAGTTTCCATGTGAGAGGAAAAATAATTCAAACGTGCTAACATGCCTCATTGTCTAAAACTTGTAATGATYACTTTCATTGTGCATTACAGAGCAAGAGCTACACAACATGAATCTGCTGAAGAATCACCCTGCTGAAAATCAGTATTTCCGGAGTATTGTACATCGAGGCTTGGTTGAAGATGATCACATTCCATTTTTATTAAGAGGTATCAGATACTTGTATATTTTGAAGTTTCTGTAGTATATGTTCAATAAGAAATGCATCATTTAGTGAATGAGCAAGTGCATATGCCCCTGTTTTTCAAGCTTATTTGCCCCAGCTTGAGGCTTCTGAATCCAACTTTATAACTTTGAAAAATATATCTGAACAAAAGCAGCAATAAAACATACCCATCATCATTTTGCTGGACTTTCAGCAGTACAGAGATAATGGAAATTTCTTTCTGCAATAGTGTCCTACAAAGTTAAGTGACCCTGATCCACTCAGGATTTTCAAAACAAAGGTGGGCCAAAGAAGCACAGCTTAGTGAACTTTTCTGACTGAAGTTTTCTACAGTACAGCAAGGACTACAAACTAATGAAAAAAGATTGATTCTTTAGAGGTATGCAACTGAAATATCAGAGACAAAAAGCAGTAAAACAGGAAAGAGGCTGGAGGAAAAAAACAATGCTCCTCCCCAAAAGCAATCAGGAAGCAGAAGACTGATTTAATTCCTCTTTTACCTAAAAGTTGCAGTACGTATATGTGCTTTGATGTACAAATATATATATACACACACACACATATATAGTTATGCAGTGACAGTCCTTTCAAGTGGAAGTTCCTTTAGCTGAGGATAACACTGGTTCTGTTTTACAGAGTAAAAATAAGACACCCTACTTTACCATTTGCAGAGAGAGCCAAAAAGCTTCAAAAATACTCAATCTTAACACTTCCAAAAAAAACATGGTAATCAGTTTTCAGTTAGAAGAGCTGCAGTGATTTCTCTGTCCTTCTGCAGCTCCTAAATAAACAATGCAAAGAATCTCAAAAGAAAAAAAAACAAACCAGCAAGTAGCTACAGGTGTCTTAAAAAAATAGAGGGAGGGGAAAGTATTCAAAGGAAAGGAAGGTGGCAATTTTACACAACACACTAATGATGGGATGAAGTCACAAGCATCAAAACAAGAGAAGATAAAAGGAAGCTGCAGTGACACACCCTATAAARCAAGCTTATTGAGGAGTTACTGGACTCTATTGCTAAATGGTGATGTACCAGTTGACTTAACAGAACTTCTCCAGTATTTCTTCTCCAAATTTCCTTTTTACAGGGGTTCCAGTCCTGCATCTGATTCCATCCCCTTTTCCTAGAGTATGGCATACCATGGAGGACACAGAAGAAAACCTTGACAAAGCCACTATCGACAATCTCAACAAAATCTTGCAAGTGTTTGTACTGGAATATCTCAACCTGTGACAGACAAAACATCAACAAATTGTACTCCATGCACAGTACTGTTTGCCTWCCTTCACATTTGCAGTTTAACTGGATTGGAGAGTATCGAGGTTAAGAAAAATATGATAGCTCTTGCTAGACTGATTATTGATCCAGCTGTTCGTGGCCCAATGGCCCATGTAGCCAAATAAAATACCATTAAATAAGAACTAGTTCAGTCTGGAAAAACTGATCTTTCCACATCTTATCTCTGAATAAAAAATAGTCCCAGAATTTTTCCAGATTATTATCATTGTCTTTTGTCACATACTATGATCCTAGGAGGGAATGCCTCATGACTTAATTGTATGATACAGTTTTTACAAGGTGTGAGTAACTTTTGCAGTGTTCAGCGGTGGAAGTTTATGCCATGTTATCAAATGGCAAAAAACACACTAAAACAGACTTCTATTTTGGGTTGAACTAAACCATCTCATGCTGAAATGAATTGCTAGAACTCCCGATGCACAGATGTGATTTTTAATCCTCTCTGGTCCCTCTCTCCTSCTTCCCCTACAAAGACAGCTGCAAGGGTTCTCTGCAGACAGCTGRCAGCAAACAGAGCAATAACCCAAATTCAGTTTTGTCCCTGTCATTTGTTAGGCGCTTTTTGATGGAGAAGGGTGGTGGGGGGATGACGCTAACAGACAGGTATGTGGGGATGTCCATGTGCTCTGACTGCAACACAGGAGAGATAAACAGAAGATAGGTGGACACTGCTCAGTCACGTGAGAAACATTCGCAATTTGACCCCAAAAAAATGCCAAAACACCACCCACCTGCTGTTTTTAATACAGATGACAACAGAAATAACCATACTAGGAAAGGGATCACCTTAGAAACTATTTAGAAACTTAGAAAAACAGTGTATCTAAATACGATTTCAAAGGCAAAGTGCTATCAAAAATCAAATGTTAGAAATGAGATGACAGTTTAGGCACCAAAAAGATACCAATTACACAACCCTGTGCTTTTACAATCCTTACTGAAATTACTCAATAAATTTAGTGCAACACTGGCAAAAAGAAAGCCTGGAATGGGATCAGTGGATCCAGAAGAACAGTATTCAAAAGCCACTGACAGAATTATGGTTTCCACTGGTGAGGAAAAGATGAGAGTATTTCAAGAAAAAAACAAAAATATCAAGCTGGTAAAAGAGGAACTGAGAGAATACAAGCCAGTATTATATTYTCTCAGTTCAGCTGTATTCAGCTCCAAACTTCTTCCCTACAAAGTTCTATCCTGAGCAAAGAGATTTTAAAAGGAGGTAAGCCATGGAGTTGTAGACTTGTCATATTTGGCATGTATTTTACCATCTTCCTAAAGCAAACATTTTGGAGCCTAAGACARTATTTACATCCATATTATAACATTGTAACAGAAATATGTACTTACAACAATGAAAATTTGTAAAATTTCACTATTACAGGATAGCCTGAAAATTAAATTCCATCCGATTTTCATTGCTCAAGATGAAACAAAAGCATTTTGTGTCTTCCTATCACTTTAATATTGGTGAGAAATGTTTTGCATGCAAATTCTGAAACAGAATACAATGAAAATTTTAAGAAATTGGACAGATGTTTTTCAGGTGTTACTGTACATCTGTATAAATATATCAAWGCTATCTGAACTTTTTGCAATCATATTCTCATCTATTTCAGCCCATGAGAAAATAAGTCTAAAAAGCTGAATTAAATCTTCTGAAGTTTGAATATTTTGAGCAGTATAAGGCACATTCTGCATCCTCCTAAGTGGTGAAAAAAGGTAACAGAATAGCTAAATATATAAGTATTAAACATGAGTTCATGTGCTGATTTATTTTGGTGAACTCTTATGGTACTTCATACTTTGCAGGACCTCTCAAAAATGTAGTACACATTTGCAGTGTGGACTGCTASTGTGCCTCTGAGAATTTCAAAGTTAACTTAAAACAGACTTCATTGTGAAATGTTGAATCGGAGTGTTGTTTTAACTGGGAAAAAAACTTTTTTTTTTTTAAAATCTCTGTTAAGACTTAGTTGAAACTATAATTTMACCATGTAGTACACAAAATCATGTCAATTTTGTCACTAACTTTTTACTGCCTGAGCATGTAGCTCTCAGTCGTTTACTCAATCCAAGGAAATGCCATAGAGGTTGCTGTAATAAGATTCAGTATTTCTCAAAATGTGAAGAAAACATGAAAAGGCTTGCTTTTTTAATCTCCTGCCCTGTGTTTTAGATTTGGGATTGGGGTGTTTTTTGGTACAGGAAAAGAGGGCCATCTCCTAAATGGATGCAAGCCCTGGAAAGGTTTACCTGAAGAGGTAAGGGTCATCAACTTAGGAATTTRTATGATCCATCACTCATTTAGAAARTGTTTGCGGTAAGGAAAACTATCAACCCAGTAACCATGTGAATCCAAGATTCTAAGCCCTCAAAACCACAAGAATCTGAGGTGGTCAGTAAAGCAAAGACAGGGTACAAGGTGGATCCTCATTGCTACTAAGGCAGGGAGAACAAGCAGGTAGGAAAAAAGCCATTTGACAMAATGTCCAGAAAACAAAAAATACAAGTGAAAAGACCAGGACTGGCATCTCTTCTACTTTCAGTTTCAACACTGAATTTGACTAAATATCCAGATCCATAGGGTCTGGACAAGCACAGGACAGACAACACTTCAAAATTTAGGGAGAGACTTTATGCTGAAGAACCTGTCTGCAGATAGTTTCTCCTTCCCTGTTGGATGGTGGCAGCAAAGGACAGAAATAAAGAGGATTTCAACTATTCTAATCAGCAGAATTGCTGCACAGGTCCTCTCCTTGAAAGGGAATTATCACATCTCAGTCATGAGGAAGGAAATAAAAATCAATTAACAAACCACAAAAGGCTGTCACAGGCTTTTGCATGCCAAAGGTGTCTGTGGTTACCACCTGGGTAAAGGGAATGCAGAGCACAATGAACTCAAGACCCATCACTCAACATGTAAAGCTAAAAAATCCCCAGATTATGGTAGTTATTTATMTTGTAATAGGTGCTCTGGCTCCTTCTGTATCAGGACAAGTGACTTTTACACAAGAATCTGAAGCCAAATAACAGTACATGCCCCTCAAACTCTCTAAAGCTGAATGCATTTAYCTACACGTGATGTGATTCTGTGCAATCACAGTTGCAACAACTGAGAGGGGAGAACAATGCCAAATCCTCTGGCAGACAGAAATGACAGTGAGTAGCAGTCCTTTTTCTAGCTGCAACAGCATTTCTAGCATTAGGAATCAAGATGATATAAATTAGCAATTCTTATTCACTATGTATCAAATAAGCATTTAGATTGTGACCACTTAACAACAAAATAGTTACAAATGACAAAATGCCTTAAAACACTTTCTATGGAATTATTCCAAGGACCCAGTCTACAGTGGTAGCAGACACAGCAAAACAGTTCTGAAATTTGACATACCTGCTCCTTGAGACTGAAGCATCACCCGAGAGCATCACTTAAACAATATATACTGGAAGATAACTATAAWATCTTGTACACAAATTACCACCTTTTCCTTGTCATTTAAGAATTACACTGATTTTATTTTCCTTATATAAAAGGAGACATTTTACTCTGTGCTGATTTAACAAATATTCTTAACATGTTCATAACAATAAAGCAGCTAAAAAAGCTGTTCTAATATCTAAAAGAATCTTTATCATCYGCACATTTGATATATATTGTAAACAATCACTCAAAAATATTTTTGTTAAAGTGATTATATTGCACTCGGAGCTCTGAAATTCTTACCCTCCCTTCTCATTTTAAATCAAAGATCAGCTTTGTTCTTTAATAAAATGGAGCTTTAATTTTCTACTGAAAACCAGTAAGCATGCAATCAATATAATACAACATATTGAAAATATCAGAAAAAGGGCATGTGTTTGATTATGAAACTGGAGTAAGGAACAGTTCTCAAACAGGCCACACAAGAGTAGTATATTGTAAACATTCTGCTGGCTCTAAGGTGTTGCAGATGCTGTACAAAGTGCAGTCTAGTTCAGCACTCAAGAGGTGCAGACAATCTGTTCAAGTGTTCCGTACTTCAGTGAATTTCCATGCAGCAATGGCACATGTAATAGACTCACAGAAAGACAGGATAATAAAGCCGAGGTGATTACTGAGTTAATACTGACCTCATAGCAACAGAGCCAATTGTTACAAGTTCACTGAAATCTTTAATTTAAAGTTTTCCAGGTCATTACATTTTCTAACAGAGCAATGAAATTTTCACTCTCGCTGCAAATGAAGTACAGAACTACATTCCCTACTTATAGCTTACATGGACAGTGGCAGTCTGCACATTACTCTCAGCCTAAAACATCCCCAGAAGATATATCTCCATCATGYAGAATGTCACCTTGCTTTTGCAAGAATGACTCCCTCCTCCAAGCACTGGCTCAAGAAACACAGGTCATGGAGGGGGGAAAAAAACAGAAAAAAAAGAGGAATGTGGTATTTTTATGCAGAAAAAGAAATCCTCAGCCAGTGAAGAGGCCACAGATGTTCAAAATTCAAATGAAGGTTGCTTTCTCCACTCACATCGACATGAGAAAGATTTCTTTATCAAAGCCATTATCTTCAGGTAACACAGTATCTTTGGAATCCCTGAGATACTACAGCTCAATGTAACCACCTCRGAGAAATGGAAAGACTGACTTAGCACACAGATGAACAAGGTGGAAGCCAATACATAGCACCCTGAGTTGCAAGTGAAACAATAGGAATGGGCAACCCAYTCCCAGATGGCCAAGAGATGCAGACGGATGTGCAGAGGAGCAATTTTAATCAGATACTGCACAGGAGAGCAGAAAAAAAATGGAAGTATTTCTAAAAAGCCTTTCCCTGTTGTCAGAGCTGAGAAGGAAAAGATAGCAATGAAAGGRAAGAGCTCTCTGAGAAAGGCCCTGGAAAAAAACGGACACCTCGATGTTCAGTAGAAAAGTAATGCAAAAGCAGAGACAAGTTAAGTGGTCTCATTCCAAGTGTGCCCCAAAGGTTAAATACTCCAGCAGTGACTATGAACTGTCAGTGATCACTGACCTGGGCTCTGGATATAAACCAAGAATATAAATAAATTACTTTTCCCCTTGAACTACAGGAAAAAATACATAGAGGAAAATACAAAGTCACAATCAAATAACAGAATACTCTTCATTGTCAAAAATGAAATACTGGCTTATGAAACAATAGTCATCTGTTCTGTATCCTAAATAGGGTTAATTGTAAAAAAGAAGTGCTTGTAAAACCTTAAGTTTTAAGTATTTTATTTCCCAGTATATTGCTAAACAATTTTGCAGTTAAACCRAATAGTAAGAAATATCAGAGATGAATATGGAATACCTACAAGTAGAAAGTGGTTGCTGAACCACCTGAACTGCTATAAAAGCATTAATAAAAATGTAAAAACATGGTCTCACAAAATTAATTACAATCTGAAATGCCAGATTGTGTTCACAATGGCCACAACATGAACACTGATGGATTTCTGCAACCAAAAACTAATTGTGAGTTGGCCGAAACACGGCTTAATACAGTAATCAAACATCTCTGAAAACTGGGACTTCTATTTCTGCCATTTCATATTTTCTCAGCTATTCAGCATTCAGTAAGCAATTCTCATTAGAAAAAAAAAATGCTACCTGGTCACAATTTTACTCTGTTATAGAGTTGTGCTGTATCTCAATACATTCTTGGATAAATGCAGAAAAGTGGATAAAAAAGATGAGTAGAAATAGACACCCTATAAAATCTATTTGTAAAGTATCGTAAGTCTGTGGCATTACACAGGCTACTGCTGATGTGAAGAAAAAAAACTGCTATTTAACCACTTCATGAATATGAACAATGCACTTGTTCCCAGCCATTCAGAATGATCTGACATTCCAAATGTTTATAAAAATAGGGTAATAAAAGAATTAAGTCAATACCCTTAAGTACAATAAATAATGGTGTTTATTATGGTCGGGGCTGACCACGAGCATTTGTTCCATATCTGCTTGGGACATTTGCAAAACCAGTTCTGAATCCTTGAGCTGCTCCCATTCCTGGTATTCCAAGTCCTTGATTGAGTACACTGCTGTAGGGTGTAGATCCATGATTAAGGCCCAATCCATAGGGCTTTGTCTGAGTGTTTAAAAGGATGACTGGACTCACATTTTTGCCTGGTGTATTAAAAGAAAATTCTGGTGGTGGGCTGCTGGGCTTAGCTGGAGTGGACGTAGCCGGGTTCAAATTATCAGCAGCTTTCAAAGATGGCATTGGGATAATGTGATGATCCGAAAGGTTCAGAATATTGTTTGCAATAGGCACAGATGATAAGGTAGGTCTGATCCAGTCATCTTTGAAAATCTGAACAGTCAAGGTAGAGACCAATGTGTATAATCTGTTAGTGACATGGGCAAGTACCATTTGTTCATTTGCATCTCTCCGAATTCGGACGTGGACTGATCCAGCCTAGGAAGTGATAAAAACAAGTTGGCTGTTAATTGTTATTSCAATAAAGATTCCCCACATGCATTCAAGAAGAGGTAAGTTATMCTGCAGAGAATTACACAAAGACCTCTTGCAGTGCAGACTGATGACTAAATTAAGAACCTTATTACAGGATACACTTTGGTTTTCCCTAATGTGTTGATCTTTTATGAACATGTCAAGATCATTATGCAGGAAAAGTGAGTCTTACAACCAAACTACACAATGCAACATTTTATGGCAGGAAAGGCAACAACTGGGGGARAAAATGGCTCAAAAGCAGAACAAAGTGCAGACAAACTTCATATGCCAAATTTAGGCATAAGTGGCAGAATAGCAAACTGAAAGCTATTTTTACATCAGAAAGTGAGAACTGCTGCCCTTTTCATTGTTTTAAGAAAGGCAGCATACTGGAAGAAATCAGTAAAGAAATATTCTGAGTGTCTTCATGTTCCAGCTTTCACAACATACCTGCATCAATTTAGGAATAACTAAGCTCTGTGTAATCATTCTGTATCAGAAAAAATACCCCTTCGTTTCTTTCAGCTTACAGAATTATTGGCACACAATTGTAGTTATTTTGTTCYACCTTCTACCCCAGAAATGCTGAAAACTTAATTGTACTGTCTACTGTAGACCTTTAATGCCTGAAGGGTTAGTTTTCTTCTTCTCTCTTCCTAGACAATTTACACTAACACACCATTTGGAAAAACACTTTTTCTATAGTTTGTGATTTTCTTCACTGCCAAAATACAAAAGAAATTCTATAATTGTAAAATGCATGCTTTAAGCCAGAACTACAGWATACATTAATAATATTAACCAATAACATAGCTTTAAAAAAAAAAAAAAGGATGGGGAGGAAGACAAGTTTTGCAATAAAGCACAAGGGGCTGAGTACTGAATCGATCAATTTTTTTCTAGTTAATATTTCAGAAGAAATATCTTACTTTATTTAAATTAAAAATTTAAAGTAGTATCTGACACTCCTTTTTAAAGGCTAGAAAGATAATAAAGACACAACTTACCAATGTGCCAAAACCTAATGTCCAGAAATGCTCATTTCGAACTTCCAACACACCATCCAAAGTTGAAACCTGATTTTACACAAACATCCACAAATATGAAAGTAAGTATTTAGAAATGTACTTTTATACATAAATGAATAACAAATAATTTTCAGAAGTGAAATAAAAGCTCCATACACAGAACAGATGATGTCTGTTACTGTCACTAATGCTTATCTACYGCACTTTTGCTACCCTTAAACATCCAAATCCATCAAAAAATATTTAAGGAATTTATTTCAAGTAACTCTTGCTGCCAAATTGCAGTATGTTCTCAACTCAATATGCTGCAATTCAACAGCTGCCTGTACTCCTTTTCCTTCTTCAATTCACATTTGTAAACCACTTCAATGGTGGCTCAAATTTAAATAAAAAAAGCCTKCACTACTTAAACAGATTTGTTCCAGATACTTAAATGACACTGTTCCTCTTCAAAAGCAAGATTCATATTTTCTACATGCAGCTAAAAATTAATATTTGAAAAATAATTTTAGCAAACTTCTTGAACTACTCAGAAAATTTCTTCACATTCCTGAATGCTATACAACACTGATGCATTATACAATGACTTACCTCTCTAAYAAGTTTATCTAACTGGCCAATCACATGAGGTGGGGTTGTCTTAAAAAAAAGAGGAAAAGAGAAAAGTTATAATGAAGATTAACTGACCCCATTTAAGTAAGAGTGCCTTTAAGTCTGGTCTAGCCACACAAGAGACCAATGTCATTAAGCAGTAAATTCTTATGACTTCATGATGCGTATTTCCACTACCCTTAAAATTCTTCTAGCGCATCACAAATTCCCATGGGAACACATCCCACTTGCCAGCTTGAAACAGATTTTAAAGTTTTTTTCTTAAACGAGGACGTTTAACAAAACCAAAAAACCAAAATCCATTGTGTGACACTGCCTTACCTGGAGTAGTACTTTCCCACTGTAGACACTCATTGGATACATGGTACCAAATGTCATCAAAGCAATTGCTATAGCAGAGGCTGTGTCCACAGCAAAATAATTGCTAGGAAGAAAGAGCAATTTTAAAGAAACATTCACATTTTTACAAGGAAGAGGAACTTACTTATGATTATTTTTCATTCTTTTAAATTATATACACTTACAGAATATTACACATAGTAATCTCATTTGAACTATTCATTCTGGAAATAGATGCATTTGTGAAGTTGCAATGCCATTCATACAAAATGCAGCTCCTAGATAAGATCATTCCTTTCATGTAAGACATGCATTTTCCCACAGACTGGATACAAAAAGAGCTACTGTTTTAAAACAACTGTACCTACTTGATTTCAATGAGCATATATGTAATGCAAAGAGCCAGAGCTCCAGCAATATCAATCAGGACAAAAGGGTTCATCCGKGGCAGAAAGATGCTACTCAATCCTGGGATGATTCCACAAATACTGCAACAAAACAGAAAAAGCAGTTGTCAGCCTGCTCTTCATCATTACTTTGAAACTCAACAATTACACCCACTCTTCAGCATTTGACTGCTAACACACCTTGCTGTCATATCATATGATGAGTAAAGGGCCTACTAATTCTGCTCAAAGGCTGCCATCAGCAAAAATTAATTAATCAAGTATTTGTCTCTGGTAACACAGCTCTATGATACAACTGTATCAGCTGTATGCAGCACAAATACTTCATGGGCTCATTATTGGTATTACACAAATGTACATCATGAGGGCTTTCCATATCATCATTGCTACCTTAGTGTGCAGAAGTGTCCTAAAGCCAAAGCTAACTAATTCAAGGAGTCTGAAAGGAGGAAGAAGACAGGTAGCTGAGTAAGAGGAGACCAAAAAAAAAAGCATGAGGAAATGCTGGGAAAAGTTATTTATTTATAGCTATCTCCTGTCAATGGGACTACGACGAGATAAAGGAGTTTCTGTACTTCCCAGTGAGTGTAAGTACATGCCATGTCCTGGAAAATTTAACGGAAAAGACAACATGAAATGTTTTGTTGCTATGGTTAAAGCCAACCTATGTTTAGACATCATGTGCTGGCCTGCTCCTGTAAGAATTTTAATCAACATAATTATATACAGGCGCACATATTTTTTAATCAGCACTGCTTCACGTAACACATCTGAAATAGCTATATACATACTAATTACTTTTTTTTTTTAATACTTGCTTAACCAGATACCAGTTATCTCAAAATCCAGTAGAAATTACACACTCTTGATCTGGGACCCCTTCATGCTATCCATCAGCATCCTTCCCTGTAACAGTGTTTCTACATTGATAAAAGGACAACTGCTACTATTTGTGATTGGTATCCACCTTTTTTTTTATTTATTTACACTAAAACCGCAGGTTCTTGGGCAACCTAATTTTTASTCTTCAAAAAATATTTTGCGTATTTTGGTTCTGATGATGTAGTATCTTATCTCCATATAAAATCAATTCTTCTACTACCAAGTCAGCATTCTCTGCTTTCCTTAACAGTAAAAAAAGATCACAACACACAGAAACAGATAGGCTTTGAAGCATACTTTGCATGTTTTACAACTTGGTTTATCATTCTTCTTTTGATACTGACAGATACTTGTAAGAATATGTATGCATTAAAATAAACTTTGTTGACATCTGACAAAATCATTTGCAAACAATGTTGTCTTGCATTCACATACACAATACAAGCAAGACTGTTAACAGAAAAGATGAATGAGCAACACTGCTTATAACCCTGGAAGAGACAGACCTTCCAATTTCCTGATGGACATATGAGTTTCCATAGCTATGGTTCAGTGACCAGTTCTGTTTCATTTATCACATTTAAACTCAACCATCTGAATCATTTGTCCAGATCACAAAGTAAAAACCACAACATTAAAAAGTTATTGCAAAAAAAATATCACTCAGTAATGCATGCTGCAAAATGCAGCTCAAGTATGTACAGGATAATGCCAATTTTCCTCATCTCATCCAAGCAGAATTACATACGATGTATGGAACATACACGTTCAAAAGAAAAGATACCCAGAAAGATGTATTTCTGTTAGACTGATGTATCTGGGAATATGAAGACAAGTTTGTGCCTCAATACTCCTCCGAACTGTTATTATACACACAAAATCAACATTGCCTTCCAGAAGCTAAGGGTTTTRAAAAACAATATAAAGCTTTACCTTCTACTAAGATCTGCAACGTGTTCCTGAAGCCAGCTTGTGCTGGCAGCTGCAAAAAAAAGAAGGTAATAAAGTTACTACAAGTAAACACATCCATTTAAATGTACACATTAATTTTACTTTAGTGGAAGAATACAATAAATACACTGTGAATGAGTAAATATATCTCAACAGATACCCTGGCCCTTGAAAAAAGCTTAAAGTCTGATTTTTCAGCAGCAAGTACAACACCCATCTCTCATAATAATCTGATTAAATACAAATATAATTGCAGGTTATAACCACTATCTTTTATATACTATAATGTCTAAYATATATTTGTAACTGTGGACAATTTACAGGACAATTACAACAGAACAATTTACAATTGCAGAAATGACTACAAAGCTACTTCACAATGAAAAAGGTARAAGAGCTTTTAAAAAGAACTACTACATTAACTTATTTTTAATCCACTARCACATCCATAAAATGTCTTCAAAGTTCTGATATCTGTCACATGACTGTCACTGGTGGAATTCAAAGATTTAAAATAAAAGATACTGCACATTAAAATGATATTTGGTTTATCATATTAATAACTACATACTATTCAGAGCCTTATAAGCAAACTGGAGTTCAAAATCAGATGGCAATTCTACTGCACTAAGTTACATTAACAGAGGTAATAATAATAGATAACCCTGAGTTGAAAGTTACCAGATAAGTTATATCTTGGCAAAAATAGCAACATTAACATTTTTTTCTCAATTCTTGTTATGGACTAATTTTTCACATACCTTCAGAGACATATGCAAAAGGCTTATTCTTAATGGAAAGCATTGTAAATAAGTTGAAAAAGAGAGCCACGAAAGTACCAACCAGCAGTCGTCCCCTGGGGAGGGGAAAAAAGGTGTCTTTAATTTCCCATCATCACAGAACATGTCATCAAGCTGTAACTATCAATATCAGTATCAAAACACTTTGCTTGGTATGGTTCACTGAGGCTGGAAACAAGTGGGATAAACCAGTGTGATACTTCATAACCAGCAGTGTATTATCACTGCAAGGGTTATATGAGATMACTGAACTTCATACATTACTGTTATCACATAATGCTCATTAAGTCCTTGACAGCTCTTAACTAATTGCACATAGGCACACACATACATATTTTGTCCTTTGAAGATATAAAGACATTGATCCCTCAGCAGCAMAACTAAGAAGCTTAGCTTTCTATGGAATAATGCCATATACCCCCAGCCTTCTTCCAGAACTGAAGCTTCAAACACACATCCCATGTACCATTCTTTTACCCCATAACACTTTCTTTTCCTTCCCCCATTTTCTTTACAGTCCTCACCATCTTTGCAACACCTTTGCCTCCCTGATAACCATAGCATCCTTCCCCYCACATACCAGGCCTTCTAAGAGGCCATGAGAAACAAAAGGAAATTAACTAGCAAAAGCAGCAATTTAWAGTTAAATCACTATTTGAGAGAGCACGAACATTACATCTCAATTGTACCTTGAAAAGAACTGTTTGCAATATAGCTTCCACATAGTTTGAAACCAATGCCAAGGTACCAAAAGCAGTTTGGTACTGAATGTACTTGCATAACTAATAATGCTAATTAATTAATTAGAAACATAAAGGGAAAATGACACATTTCACRTGTCAAAATAATTTCTTACGTGTGTATCTCAGGCTGTTCCAGAAACCGCTCCGCACTAYGAAAATAATTGAARATTTGAGTTATATTCACACAGTGAWGCCTTGMTATCTGAAGCATATTTTTACAGTTCTGTAGCATTAGCTGCCATTCATTAAAAAAACCTTACAGATACAGTACTGCAAAAAAATGTATTACTTAAATAAACACAGCAATTTTTATAAGCAATGAAAGCATTTAACAATGAATCAAAGCAGATGTAATTTAGATTTCCCAAATATTTTGACACTGTGCCACATATRTACTAGCTACCATGAGTGCTGCCTRCATGGTAAAATGATGCCTGTAAATGAACACAAAAAACCAAAAAATACTGCTACTGACACCATCATCAGTGGTGACCACAACAAACTAAGTCTGAAATTCCTGCTTTACAGCTTTACACTAAGCAATGTCAAATAAAGTAGACATTGAATACTGTGTTGGGAGATACAGATCTTTTTTCACCCACCAGTGAATTAACAAATGAGTTTGAGCTGTAACAAAAAAAAAATCTGCTAAGTTTGTAGAATTTCCTAAAACTGATATTGGAAAACTTGAAGGTTTTGACAGAGGGTCATTCATTCCAGTGTGCTATCAGTTCAGTACACTGATCTTCAAAATTGCTAAGTTGTTATCCCTTTATACAGAAAATAGAGCCCTTGAAGAGAAAAAGGAAAGGTGCACTGCCCYAGTTTTAAATTCCAGATGTTAACAAAAGCCTCTTCATCTTTAAAATCTAAAATAATTTTTTAGGCTAACCTCYTGAAATACAAATGCTTCCAAGCATAGATCATATGGCAAATTAATACTTGAGTAAATTTTGAGGGAGTGAAGAAGCTGTTGGTTTAAACATTCAGATTCTTGACATATTATAGAGCTGCTTCACTTCAAAAAGTAACAAAAATAAAAAAAAACCCTAACCGACAAATAAAAAAAAACCCCACAAAAACCAGTTTTATTTGCTAATGAACTTTAAAAAGTCAAGAAGCATAAGGAAATGCATTAAATTAATAACCCAATTCCTGGTAAAAAAGTATTCTTAAAACCATTAAATCTTTTCCTAGAGAGGAAGGAAACCTGTCTTTAAACCTAAAGCCTACATGGAGTGTAATGAATGTAAGCAAGCAGTAAGGTTTAGCAATATTTTTTTTAAAAAAATCTTAAGTTTTTTCTAAAATATCTCTCCACATACAGCACTTGTAGAATGCATGTGCTTTTGGTTGATCTGGACCGTATTTTCATCAGTGATAAAATTAAAGACAAAGTATATAGCCCTACCTTTCTTTCAGTATAAAAAGAGCACCAAGCTGTGCCAGAACTGTAGATGCAAATACAGCTAGAACTTCAAACCTTTCAAACCTGAAATTTGAGAATTAAGTTTAGAAACAYTGAACATTGAACAATAAATCAAGTAGAATCTTTTCTGTGCAAGAACCAGCATGACACACCTACTCTTTCCAATTCATTCAATAGCAGACAGATGGGAAGAAACTGGAAGTTTTATGGAACAAGCATTATTTTCAGTTTCTTTTAATACTCMACTCACCAGAGACACCTTAAAATTAGGCATTTCTAAATTCTTTTTCCTGTCTGTCTTCTACTCTGTAACTGTTCTTTAGAATAAGTCTTGGCCCTTCYCATTTTTAGGCTCTTTCACATACAGACTATTACTGATGGCTGTTAGGAGACCCAGGCAACGAGAGCCAGCAATATATGATATATTGTATTGTCAAATACTACATCTTATTATTAGTACTTACCCAAATGAATAGACTGGGGTGGGTTTCTTCATCATTATCCAGTAGCTTATTAGACATGTTACCAAACTGAAAAAAGGGGGAAAAGTAGATTATGATAAATAACTGCAGCCTTTACAAACTGCATAATGTACAAATAATACACCTGAGCCACCAGAATTCAACAAATGAATATAACCATGTCCTATCCTGAATTCAGCCTCCATCGCTGTCACAGTGATGTTCCAAATGCTCCTCACATGTGCTTTTTGAACTTGCCTAGAAATGCTGTAACCTGAGAAAGGCCATTTAAATGAAGGYGAAGGAAGCTGATAAGCAAGACAAAAGAGTGAAAGAAAATGCAAAGAAGCTCTCTTCTTTTCAGACATAAGAATTAGATCTGGCGTTCTAGAATAAGTCTCAGGCCACATCAAGCATTACCYTTCTTTTTCACAGTGTAATTTCTCTAAGTATATGGCCAAAACAGATTTTCTTTCCCTACATTCATATACACAAGCTCTAATTAACTAGTCATTCACTGACCACCACAGGTCTCTCTTGTTATCTTCTTTCCAAGTTTTTCTTTCACACTGACTATCTTGAATTCCAACTATCCTCATGGTAGTAGCCAGAATGTTTCAAGCATAAGCTTAATTTCCTTTTTTCCTCTATTGAACCCTTTAAATATTTTTTTCTGTTGGAATCCACACAGATTCAGTGTCATCTGTGTTTTCATGCAGTCCTTTTATAATTAATGACAATGTTRAATCAGACTGGACTAAGAATTCATCCCTACAACTGGTGAACAATCACATTCTYACAACTTGATCCTCAGGTGTGTAAAATAAAAGTAAAAGCACGGGAAATAACACTGTTCACATAYAAAACAGTAAATTCATATACTCAGTAAGGCTATTATATACAAGCAGGAAAAACAACAAAAAGAAAAGAAGCAGARATTGATTTTTGCAGCAGAATTACTGAGCATTGTTCTCCCTTATAGCAAAACAAAACTCTTGAAAGAGAATATTTCTAGAATARTCTTCTCGTCCAACCCCTAATTAACCTAAGATATGAGTGACAGGGGTGTTCTACCTTCTTCTAAAACTAAAAAAAAAAAGAAAAGAAATTTTCTATAAGAATAGGAAATACAGCATCAACACTTTCCCCAATCTCCCCAAGGTGAAAACGGTATTTTGAGTCAAGACAACTAAAACTCAGTAGATACAAAATTCTAAGAGAAATATGCGATTCATTAAAGTTAAATCACAATTCTAATACACTCACAGATCAATTTAAGTATTTTTTTGCCKATACCAACAAGTCATTTTTGTTTCTGCATGTTTGCTGATGTTATTTATAAATATTTTACTGTCAGTCAGATAAGCTATAGTACACAGTGGACTCCGAAAGCTGATCCATACCTTTCATAAGACAGTGATAGAGCAAGGAAGACAATGCAGGCTAATATTTCAAAAATATATGCATTTTATTTCCCAACCACTGCTATTCTGTAACTCAGATAAAAACTGTATGTATTTCCTGTCTGTATTATCGATATTACCAAAAATGTTCAGAACTATCATACTTAAAGTTGTTYTAATATCATTTTGTTAGGAAACAAGAAAAATATCAAAAGCACCTAATGACCTTATGTGAAGAGTGCCTGAGATCCAGCTTATGAAGTATTTTTTAAATAGAATTACATGCTTCTTGTTTCCTGATGTTAAAACTGAGGGTTACTTCACAGTCAGTGACTACAGCAATGTTCTGAGAGAAAAATCAGATGACAGTTTTATGCTATGCTGTTTTATGTTGTCACACATCTGCACAGCGGAATCCATGACAGAATTGATCAGTTACTAGTCATTCTCAATATAGTGGTGGTTTTTACAATCTATTTATTGTGATGTAAAATTTTATACTCACTTAAATTATATTTAAAACAGTTACTGTTTCTATACTGATGACTAAGTTATATGTCTCTGTAAKTAAATTTTAAATGTATAGAAATATACAGACACAAATGCACAGGAAGACAAAATGGGACAAAAACTCACCTGAAAAGGTCAAAGATTGTCAAATATGTGTAAGCAGTTAAAGCTGTAAAAAAAAAATATTAAAATTTAATATTTAATTTTTCAATGCAAAAATCACTTGTATTCCAAGTCCCTTTTGTGTACCTCTCTTCAATCTCCTACCTACATAAACRGCCTCTGCTGCTAGAACAAGTCTCTCTGTGAATATTCTAAGGACACCAATATATTWAATGCCATAAACAAGTTGATTATGGCAATCCTAATTCAACTAAAGCACACAATAAAGCCCAGATACAAAAGGTATCACATTTGTGACTAAGTTGTGACTGGGAATTTAAGTACTAAAAATTCAGGAGATCTTCCAGAAACACGTCACTTACCAAAGCAAGAGGTCTCTTATGAGCATTATTGCAGTGAAAGGTAGGTTAAACAGAACTTTTTACTTGTTTTGCATCTCTAACCTACCCTGAAACTGAAAGAAAACCTGCAACAAAAATTAAAAACTAAAAAAGGGTTCTATTCTCAGCACAGATGACGGGAAGCACCTCAAGGCCCCTATCCAAAAACAGAAGGCACACAAAACTGCATTGGGTCTGGCTGAGCCTGAGTTCATTTCCCCACAGCAGCCCTGACAGTGCTCTGCCCTGCAATGGCAGCTGCAGAGGTGCTGGTAACACTCCAGTGTTTCGGCTACTGCTGAGCAGGAGGCATTCCTGGAAACAAGTCTTAAAACTTTTGCCATACTACAAATATCCTMCTTCAGCTGCAAGTGAGGGTCACTGTATGGCACTGCTAATTTTACAAAGAACAGGTTTGAGGACTAGCAACTGGTAAGTCTACTGGTTTTCAGTCTTAAAGATGAAGAAGCTACTGCAGGATGCAAATGGCCAGCAGGATCTTCACTCATCCAAACTTATCTGTGAAAAACACTTCTGACTGTGGCAAATCAAAAGGAAGCATTTTCTGAATCTGGCTGTGCAAGCCCCTAATTCCATTAAGTACTGGACCTGGCTTTTTCAGTCAGTTGGAACTTCACCAGCTAAGAAACACATGGTAATTTGCTGCAGTTTCAGTACATGAGAGCCACCTACCTATGCTGTTTGTAGAGCTGCACCACATGAGCAGGAAGCCAATACATATTAAATTTATAGCACCAAACAGTAAAATCTTCCAGGACTGTTGATGAGAATAAATATGTATTTTACACCTTAAAAAATTTACAGGACAAAAATACATCTTTCTGGTCTTAAAAAASCAATATTGTAGTACTTCATCATGCAAACAGAACTGGCTTCTCCCTCCCGAAAGTTTACCACTCATTTCAGAACAACAAGCCCTTATTCTATTTTAAACTTTACTGATTATTTTTAAACTTATTTATGAACAGCACCATGCTTAAAATTCCTTTCTGGTCTAACAAAACCCCCACCCATCTATAATACTTGCATTTTATCATGGCACACACCATCTGACTTTTGGAGACCAATTTGTGCAACTTTATATTAGTGGGTTCCTTTTTTGTGCTGAAACTTTGGTCCCAAAAACATCTGCACATATTCAGCTTACAGTTCTATGAACCCATTACCTATAAGTATATTCTGGAGAACACTAACTGACAAGGACAAAGCACAGGAATGAATACAGCTTCAGAGATGGATTTTTCTTTTTTAAGCACAGCTAGAAAAATCCAAAGAAAAAAATTCAAAATATACTAAAGTTAATAGTGTATTTTAACTTATCCCAGCTAAGGTGTATTTTTTTTTCCAGCAATACTTACCCTTCTGTCTGCTGCAACCAACCTAAATTCATGTGTTAACTTTCCAACCAATGATCTCTGTGATTTACGGAATAGGTGTATTGTCCCCTTAGAAAAAAAAAATCAACACTTGAATTAAAAATTCTACTTAAGCCATAATTTAAATTAGCAAAAAGGAAATCTTGATTTATGAAYTATTTTCATAACTATATCAAAGATGCGTGAATTTTTTTGTTAACCAGAAATATCACATTAACTTTGAATTCAACAATATTTTGGTCTATTTCAACCATTCTATTTCTATTTCTATTCTATTTCAACCATTTAATATGGTTATTATATTAGAAAATGACACATGACTTAGAATCAAGCTTCATTTAGACATAATCCAGAACTGAGGTTTACTGGAAAAGATACTAAAGTATCATTTAAAGACTGGGTTTTAATTTTTATTTAGATGAAGCTACTACAGACAGCCTGAAAACACAAATATTTTTCTTTACCAAAGCACACTTCCCACCCAAAGGGAATGTGTTTATAAAACAGAAAAATATTGTTTATAGATCTATAAAGAAGAACCCACCATGGAAGTAAAAACAATGCTGGTGATGTGGTGGACACAAGGCCAGTAACAAAACATACCAACAATGTTGGTTATGGCTTAACCTAAATGTGCACAGTAGATGAGGTCAGTGCAGGTGCTCCCTTCCCCACCATACAGTGACCTGTAGATAAGCTCTGTCCTGGCATGGAAAGGATGTATGTGGGAATGGGGGGGTGCAACATGGCTCTCCTGGAWGCCTGACAGGGAGCAGACAACCCGAGACATTCATCTGCCATGGCACTTGGCTCCCTTTCCTCACAGGGCCCAAGCTTCTAGTTGCTTGTCCTCCATTCTGCCCTCTCCACAAGAAAGTAAATTTTCCATGTGAAAAGCCCTTTTCATTTGCAATAGAAATTTGTCAACTTGTAATGGATGGTCTGTCATATGCAGCAGTTTGGRGCTGGATTAAAAAAGGCTTGATTTTAAGCTATGACACCTTAGCTGCTAGCAGAAGGCAAAAAGACATAGTAATGGTCTCTTCACCAAAATAAATTCAATTTCAGATATTTTGTCAACACAGCTGCATTTCATATTATCTGACAAATACAAGTGTGCCATGAATTTAAATTGAAGCACTACTACAGATCCCAAGTTCAGCTCATCTGGGACAAAACATTGGCACTTATTCTTTTCTTACAAACAAATCATTACATGTTTATTTTAATTCTTAACGGACACATGCAGGCTGCCAGAACACCTTGGAAAGCTTTTCTAACAGGCAGTGGACTGCCTGTTTACAGAAGCTACCATCTTAAAGAATCACAAAGAATCATAGAACATCCTGAGCTAGAAGGGACCCACAAAGATCATAAAGTCCAGCTCCTGGCCCTGCACAGGACACCCCAAGGATCACACCCCAATGAGCCTGAGAGCACCATCCAAACACCTCTTGAACTCTGCCAGGCTTGATGCTCTGACCACTTCCCTTGGGGAGCCTGTTCCAGTGCGCAACCACCCTCTGGTGAAGAACCTTTTCCTGATATCCAACCTAAACCTTCCCTGACACAGCTTCAGGCCATTCCCTCAGGTCCTGTCACTGTCACCACAGAGAGCAGTGTGTGTCTCTCCTCTTCCACTCACAAGGAAGTTGTAACTGCAATGAAGTCTCCTCTCAGGCCCCCCAGGCTGAACAGACCAAGTGACCTCAGCCACTGGCAATAGGAGTTTCCCTCCAGAACCTTCCCATCTTCACAGCCCTGCCTGTCACTTTGGTCCCCATGGCTTTCCCACTCTGCTGGCACAGTGTCCACTGCCCAGCCACAYCTCCCTGTTTACAAAGCATGCCGCGCATCAGAGCTGTGTATTCTGTGCCACACGGGACCTCGTGCAAACTCCCACAGGCCACAGCCCACCCCTGGAAGCAAGCTTCAACTCGGCATGTGTTGCACCTTGGCATTAAAAGTGTCCCTAGATCCTACAGCTCTGCCGGGAGCTCAGGGCTGGGCAGGACCCTCAGCCCCAGAGAGTCCCCGTGCGGAGCTCAAAGAGCCCCACAAGATCTGTTCCTGCAGCGAGCGGCACTGTCTGCTCCGACAGGTGACAGCACCTGTTATTGACACCGATGTCACTTCAGTGGTGCTCAGCATGAGGCGAATACGCACACACACGGAGGTCGTTCCCAAAAGGACTTTCCCTCTTTGGGAAGCGAGCCACAGAGTGACAGCCCCAACACAGGGGAGCAAGGGCACGATAACCTGCTTGCCATGAGGCGAGTCCCAGCTCCCTGACCGATGTGCCGCCGCAGAACCCCGAGGCTCAGACCGCAGCCYGGACACGTCGTTCGAGACGCGCCTCCGGCACAGGAGCCCCGCAGGGCCCCAGCACCCACCCAGGCCCTGCCCGCGATGCCGCGGCCCGACAGCCCCGCTGACCGGGACACCGCGCTCGGGGGAAGGGCGGAGAGGTCCGCGGGGGAAGCGCGGCACGGACAGCATCGCCCCACGCTGCCCCCCGCCCCGGGCCCGCCAAGGGCCGCGCCAGCCCGGAGCCCCGCGGCACCGCCGCCCCGGCGGGGGAACAGGCACCTCCAGCGGCCTCCTCACCCCGCGTTCCAGCGCGACTCCCCTCCGTGYTCCCTGCTTCCCCCAGGAGGGGCTACTCACCATATTACTCCCCGCAGCGGAAGAGACGGCGCCATGCGAGGCCGGAAGGGGCGGGGGAGGTTCCCGTCGCCGCGGCAACGAGCGGGCCCGCGGGACACGTGGCGGAAGCGGCGCCCGGGGGAGCCCGCGCAGCTCCAGCCGCTCCCGCGGGATGTGCCCGAGCCGCCCGCCCCTCGCTCCGCCCCGGCCCGCGGCKGGCTGAGCTGGCGGCGCACCTCGGGGGACAGAGGGGCGTGTCTGCCGCCCCACCGCCTCTGTGCCGTCTGTCTGCCCGCTGCCTGCGAGAGTGCAAGGAGAGCGCTCCGGAGGGCGGTCGCCATCACAGAATCAGAGTCTAGCCTATGGCCAAATACACYGTGTSACCTARASCACAGCACTGAGTGCCACGTCCAGTCTTTCCTTAAAAACCTTAAGGGGTAGTGACTCAGGCAGCCCATTCCGATGGCTAACCACTCTTTCTATGAAGAAACTCTTTCTAGTATTCAATCTAAAACTCCCGTGGCACAGTTTAAGACTATTGTAGTCCTAGGCCTGTCACATTGTCAGGATACGCCGCTACAGCAATTCCCCAGGGACAGGTTTGCTTCCCAGTACCAGCATTCCTTACAGGAATGCATCGGATTTCGCTCTGCGGCCGTGCTCGGTATTAAGGGCACTCGGGACACAGCCTGCAGACGGCGCTTTTTTTTCACCCAGCAGAACCCCCAAAGGAACAATTACTGGAACTCTGTTTAGAATGTTGTCACTTCGTTGTGAGATTCCTAGAAGCGGTCCCATTGCTCTGAATATGATAAATATGGAAAGCATTGCAGTCCAAAGGAGGGATCTGCACGCAGTACAGTACATACTTGCCAAAAAAAGTCGAATTTTCGAAACTCTGTGGTAAAAACAACACACTTTGTTCATTAGGTTGTTTATAGGCTGATATTCTGAAAAACACTTTTTTTGTCTTTTTTAAATACAGCTAYAACACACAAGTGTTTAGAGATGGATTTTAGTTAAAATATATTTTTTCTGCCTTCACCACTACGTATATTTTCTGTTTTATCATGATACACAGAAYAAAAACTGCCATAGAGAAAGTTGCATAATTGTCTTTTCCAGAGCCACATGAACCCTTGTAGGAAACAGGCTGGATTTCATAAGTTCACGACATATTTGGAAATTTGCAAAAGATGGCATAACTGGAAAAAACCAACCAAACAAAAAAACCCGAAAACAAAACAAACCCCGTGCACCCAAACAAATGAACAAAAGAAAACATACCAAAAAAAAGCCCACAAAGAAACAAAACAAAACCCAACAACTCTAAATTTACTTTTTTCTCACTTTTCTCTGACAAACTTAGAGCTCTAAAATACAGAAACAGATCTCCATCTGAGATATGCCTACATCTAACACCAGGCATGCAGCCTTGTCTCCCCTCCTTGGCTGGAATGGAAACAATTT